CCCACTTGAGAGATTTCTTTTTCACCACAATAATGCTGATCGACTCTTCCCCTTTGTTTTCAGTGGTTGTGGGCACATCACAGTCGCATTTCTTCATAAAGAGCATGCTATGTTCTGATACAGGCATACATTGTGAATTAATCAAATCAGGGTCATCGAGGTATCCATCATCTCAGGAATTTAACATTTCTTTGGGTCAGGAACCTTCCAATTCTACTCTTTTAGTTATTTTAATGTACATCCTTATTTATGGTTGACTATAGTCACTTGGTTGTGTCACCAAATATTATTTATTCTATTAACTATATTTTTGCATCCACTAACCATCCCCACTTTATCCCTCTGTCTTGCTGCTCTTCTCACCCTCTGGTAACCCCCATTCCACTGTCACCACGAGACCAATTGTTTTTAATATTTAGCTCCCATATGCAAGTGAGAACATGTGAGATTTTTCTTTCTGTGCTTGGCTTATTTCACATAATGTTCTCCAGTTCCATCCATGTTGTTGCAAAAGGCAGGATTTCACTCTTTTTGTGATTATATGGTATCCTATTGTGGGTATGTGCCACATTTCTTTATTCATTCATCTCCTGACAGACACTGAGGCTGATTCCAAATCTTGGCTTTTGTGAATAGTGTTGCAATAAACATTAGAGTGCAGATATCTTTTTAATAGACTAAATTCCATTCGTTTGGATTTATGCTCAGAGTGGGATGACTGGTTCATATGGTAGTTCTATTTTCAGTTTTTTAAGTAACTGCCATACTATTTCTGTGGCGGTCACACACACTGATTCTTAATAATGGAAATATCGTTCATCATTTTAATAGGCTTCTCATCAAATTCTCGTTTATATATAATTAAAGGAGGTTTGCTAATTTTTGTGTGTGTGTTGAACTTTTTATTTCAGAGTCTTTAATATGTCAACATGAACTCTCATTGTTCTAAAGAAATATATAATATATCCCAAACTTTAGTGACAAAACTTTATACCTCTCACCTTCACCCACAATTACTTCAGTCAGCTTGGAGGAACTACTCAGGATATAATGAGTTCTTACATGGGGAAAGTCTTTGAAAGAAAGCTTAATATGTTATATAATGTAAGATGTTTATTTATTCAGCAGTATTATTTAGCCTGTAAAAACATGTGATATTCCAAATGGCTAAAAAAAGAAAGTTGAATACACAGCTAATCTTCTTATAAGGCAGAACCTGTGCCCGCTGTCTCTTTTGAAACTCCTCACTACCCAGAGAAATAGTATTAGAAAATTACTCAATAAAAATGATTGATATGCAGAAAAAATTGCAAACACCACCACTTTAGTTTATTCACAGTCAATGAAGAACCTTTGAATGTTCTTTCTGCATACATGAAGCCAAGGAGATTTTTCAACCCTGGGCTATATTTATCCACTATCAACAAAATAGGAAAATGGGGCTGAACCTAGTCTTTTTCTTTCCTCCCTATAATTTCCTCTGTTTCTAATTTTGTAGCAATCAAGTTTCAACAAGTTAATCAAATGTCTTTTGTACGGCAGGTGCCAGGGTGTTTGTTTTCATTAGTGTACCAAATGCCATATTTAGGAACTTGGCCTTTTGGTTAACTGGCTGCAAGCAAGGCTTTAAACCCTTAAATGTGTGTATTTAAACTCGGCATTTATTTTTACATCTCCCCATCCAAATAATCAGGATGTGGTTATCTGTAAGATGATACATTATGATTTTTCCTCTATACACCCGAGCACAAAAATATATGCCTCAAACGTAATCGCCAATGTTATAAACACCATTTATAAGATTGCAGAAATTAAGGGAGACCTGGTTAGTAAAAGGCGCATAAAAATAGTGAAAGGAAATCCACATAGAAAAGCTTATAAAATTAGGGAATTTCATACTTTGTAACCTATTTTTACCATGATAAAAGCAAGAAAAAAAATCACCTTTATAGTTTACCTTTGATTAACTGAGAGCTTACTTTTAAAAAAAAAGATATGTAAGAAATATGAAATTGTTTTTAAAAATACATTCATGTTCTTGATGTATCGTTCTTTATGTGGAAGAAGGTCAGAGAAACGTCAGCAAAATCAGGGGAAAATACAGTTAAGTAGCGGGTTTTATAAAGGGGATTTGGGGTTCTTGTTACAAGTAAGTGTTGCGATCTTTATGTCTATCTTCTCACTGCAGAGGTGTAGTCATGATGTATTGTTTTGATACTTGCCAAAAAACTCAAATATCACTTTGTTAACACTTTAACAGAAGGAAAAGACAGAGAATATATTGCTCCCTTTTAAGAAATAATGGGCTACAGAGATGTTGCTGGCGACCAGCGTTCTGTGACAAGGTTCTGAAATAGATGACTTGGTGTCATGATGAACTAGTTTAGACTACATTACATAAAATATAAAATTATATTTTATAAAAAATGTCACAAAGAGTGCTAAAATATTTTATCTCCATTTTAAGTCTTGACATAATTAATACAGATACTACTCTGTCTACATAAAATATGTATTCATATTCCATAACATTTATTAATAAAATCTGTACTAAGGTTGCACAAAAACAAGTTTTTTAAGAAAATGTGATACATTTTTGGATCAGAATAGAACAAATGTAGTTGTTAAAGAAATATTTAGCAAGACCTCAGAAACATTGCTTCACTTACCAATTATAAACAAGAAATGAGATAAAAGGGTCATATATTCATCAATCCTCGCAAGCTTTCTTGATACGGAATCACTTTCTCAAATTAGGAAAATGAAACTCAGGTAAGTTGAATGGTACAGATGCAAGGTCACACTGATACTAAAGCAAAAATGAGACTCAAACCCAATTCCCAGATGCCATTCTAGCATCCATGTGTTCTTTGCCCCCAGTAAGTTTTCGGAATGACAGATGTCTAAGGGATAGATTTACTGAGCCTTCTCCCTTGTAAAGGTTGAATTGTGAAGACTTTGCCAATGCCATGTACTAAGGGGCAAAGCTTGAACTCAAGCCACTTGGTCTATCTTGCCCGCTGTGATCTTCCCTCCGCAGGAGCCTCCTGCTTCACTGGGTGATGTTGAGAGTTTCCGTGGTCAACCTGGCAAGCCTAATACAGACTAGAGATCTAGTCTGAAAAGATCTGGAAAAAGCTTTAATTGCATTTTATCTAAAATTTCAGAAATACATAGATGGTAACCTTTGTCCTTACTACTCAGAATTTACAAATATAGCTATTTTTACATATATGCTTTAAAATATTATAGATTACAAACTGCATGCCTCGACTTGGCACCTGTGGCTTAAGTGGTTAAGGCACCAGCCACATACACCTAAGGTGGCGGGTTCAAATCCAGCCCGGGCCCACCACACAATGACGGCTGCAACCAAAAAGTAGCCAGGTGTTGTGGCGAGCACCTGTGGTCCCAGCTACTTGGGAGGCTGAGGCAGGAGACTCACATGAGCCCAGGAGTTGGAGGTTGCTGTGAGCTGTGATGCCACAGCACTCTACCCAGGGGGACAGCTTGAGGCTCTGTCTCAAAAAAAAACAAAACTGCATGCCTCTTGTTTCCTCCATAATGTTGGGCAGTTTTTCTTTCTCCCCAGAGGCAATCATATTTATAAATCAAGTTCAATTGGCTCATACTTTAATTATAGAATAATATAATATATGGAATTGCTGTGTGTATATATAATTTAGGTAAATTGTGTCACGTCATATATATTGTTCTTCATTTCCCCCTCCCCAAAAAACTCTTTCCTTGAAATCCATGCATAGAGATATACATTCATTTAAATCATTTAACAACACATACACATACATTTACACGATTTGCTTTAATTTAATAATTTGAATATATCTTGACTAATAAATCCATTTTATTTTCAGTGGGGCTTGGGTTGATTCCAGTGTTTTACTGATATAAACAATGAGGCTACAAGCATTCAGATGCATTTCTTCTCATAAACATTGCTCCTCAGGGATATATACCTACCCAGAAGTGAGTTAAATACGTCAGAGGTAGAAGATGACCATTTGTCACATTTTTGTATATTGCCCAATTTTCTCCAAATAATTGGATCTATGTCCAACTCTACCAGTATGTTTTTTTGTGTTTCCTAACATCATTCTAACATTTGCGATGTTGACTTTAACTTCTTACTATTCGGATGTGTATAAAATCATTTCTCTTTCCATTTGCAGTAAATAAAGTGTGTGTGCTATGAAATGTTTATTTTCCATTAAGTTCTCTTCTTTTCTATAAAATATCCATTCATAACTGTGGCCCACTTTCACGTAACTGTTATGTCAATTTTTAAAGTTTTACATATCAGATTTATTTACATGTACCAAATGTCCATCTTCCTTTTTTATATATGTTGTAAATAGCTTCCATTAGTAAATTGGCTTTTGGTTTTGTTTCTTGCATCTAATCATATGGAATTTTTCAATTTTGATGTAGTGAACTTTGTGTTTTACAAGATGTCCATTTTTTTAAAACTTGCTTAAGAAATCCTGACATAACACAAGTACGTATAGAAATACTCCTAGCTAATGTCTGGCATTTTTAAAATTTAAATTTAAATGCTTTTAGAGGAATCACCTTCTCTCTGGTTCACCACAGACCCCAGCAGGTTTTACTTTATACACCTTACCACTTTCACACATTTCTTCTCAGGTACATGGGGTTGTACTCTTTGGATGAGATAAAGAAGAAGAAGAGAATAAAATTATGTGAATTATATTTCTCAGACTTTAGATTGAATTAAATGGTTATTATAGCTGTACAACCCTAATCTAGGTTTATATGAAAATGAAGACTTGACAGAATGTGTTCTGGGAAATCTATACTATCTATTAAGCATTATTTAAGTTGTGCAGAAATCCAATTTAGTACATTTAACCTGAATTATTTGGGTAACATTTGCCTCGAACAATCTATTTAGGAGCCCTCATTTTCTATCTTTGTATCCCAAATGATTCAATGTTAACTGCAATGTGTGTGACCTGTAGATGCTGGACTGGAGATTAGCAAGTGCGTATTCCATCCTGGCTATGACGCTGATGATGTGGAGCTCAGGAAAAGTGCTCTCAGTGGATGTAGCAACCGAGGTAATGGAAACAAGTTTACAGAACCACATATGTACATTCATTCTTTCATGGACATCAGTCATTTCTACTAGTGTTAGAAGGTGCAGGTGCAGCTGACAAATAGGAAGATACACAGAGGGCGGCACCTGTGGCTCAAAGGAGTAGGACACCGGCCCCATATACTGGAGGTGGTGGGTTCAAACCCAGCCCCAGCCAAAAACTGCAAAGAAAAAAAGAAAAAAAAAAACATGCACACAATATCAGATAGGGAAACAACACACAATCAAGAAACTAAGTGTTTCTCTATTGTCTTATTTTTATTGCCAGCGTGACATTCAAGGTTGCAAATTTAAAATGTAAAGAGTAATGATGATTTTTTTCTCCTCACAGTGGATAAAAAGCAAGCCAGTTATCTAAATGTTAAAAGAAACTTTAAGTAATAACAAAGATTTGTACTCAGTGAGCAAAAAAGCATTCAAGAAGTCATTATCATTTCATACACATTGGATTTAGATTGGCTATGTCAAGATGAAGTGCTTTTATGTAAATTTGAAGTTATTTGCATGGCGAATTTGAGTAGTTTTGTCCAAACTTTTAATTACAGTACAAATGTTTTCTTAGTGCTATGACTAAAGGAAAAAGGAAAAGAAATGTCAGGACATGAGACAGGGAACAATTCATTTGGCTCATTTGATCTTACTAGAAGCATTGATTCTGCGTGCTTCTTAAGGAGCAAAGAGGAAGTCTGAAATGCACATTAAAGAGGATGGGCCTTGTATGAATTGTCTTTTTCCTGAAGATTAAGGATACTTCTGAAAAGAAACAATACTCTCTTTTTGTATGTGTGTCAGTTGCAATAATAAAAGCATAATTTTTGGAGCATGCTTTAAGAGAGAACAAAAATCTTTGCCCTTTGAAGGTTTGTCTTCTTTGTCTCCTGCTTGTTAAAATTTCTTTCCAGTGATTAGAGCATTCTTTCCCTTCTCCACTGTCTATGTTGTCAAGGTCATATAGGGAAAGGGTAAGTTGAGATTTCAGGAGTCGTTGGGGCTTTGCACAAAGAACTATGAGAAGTATTAAAGTTTCTTTTTTATATGATGGTAATGACAGTGGGGAAAACTAACTTCACAGCAGTACTCAGGAGAAACGGAGAGCAGGGAGGTAGGAGGCAGAGAAACAAATTATAAGGTGATGAAAAGCAGACACTAGGGGATGAAGAGGACCTGAGTCCCTAATGACGGGAATCAAAGAGAGCAGATCAGACTGCCGCTGATCAGAAGAACTGATCAAATTGCGGGCACATCTGACTAGATAGGGAAGCCGGAGGCTCAATAGCTTTGGGCTTGTCTGTCGGTATTTCAAAAGAGAGTTGCCTTGAAAGAGCATGAAAAATGCCAGGATTTCATTTTATTAGAGAAAATGAAAAGAATAGAAAGACAATGGAAGTAATAATCCAAGAAGAAAAAGAGAAAGCAAAGAAAAATCAAAACAAAGAACAGGAGTCTGGCACATGGAGAAATGTGATTAAAGCCAGGAAGAAAAAGATCTCCAGGAGCTAAACCTGTTTCCCACACAGGAATATTCTCAGGGTCTTCGTAGTACACAATGACTCAGGATTGTTAAGGGGAGAATTTAAAAATGCTGTATCAGGGCTTAGAAAGGAAAAACTGAGCACCTGTACTTGGATGACTTGGATGAAGGGCAAAGTGGCAATATGTGTAAAAACAAACAAATAAGAAATCTTATTTGTAAAATAAAATGATTGGAATAGCTCACACACCTGTAGACATTCATTAACATTTGTTAATACATCATACGGATGGAGATGGAATGGTCCCTGGGCACCATCCCTGGATCCCTGGAGAAAGAATTGTGTTTATTTTGTAACCCTTAAGTCTAATGCAGAACCTAATACATAGAGGATACTTAATGGTTTGAATCAATAAAGAATGAATAAGTGGTTACGAGAACATAGCATGAGGTTTCTTTTTTTTTCAAAATTCATTAAATAAATATTCATCAAAGAAGTATTGATCACTATAAGAAAAATACAAAGCTAAGCACTGAGTAGACAAAATATAAGACTCACGAGACAAAGGCATGGGCCTCAAGTTTCACTCTAATAAGGAATACCAATATATTATAATCAATAGAATACAAAGTAATAGGTGCATTGATGAAGGAGATATAGATAAAGCACTGTGAGGACACTAATAATAAGGAAGGATGGAGTTGTAAAGAATATTTTTAAAAAAATGATTTGTTTATGTGCTGAATTTTAGAAGCAACCTAGGAGATTTTTTTTCTTTATATTTTTGTTTAGTTTTGTTGTATTTTCTCCCCACGTCTGTGGGTTTCAGTCCCCAAAGGTCAACCTTTCTCTTTGAAAAATAACCCCATGAGAAATTACAAAGATGGAAATGCCCAATGCGGGAATTTTACATATTCAGAGTGTCTTTGCCTAAATGAAGGGAATCCCCCCTCTTTTCTCTGCAGGCCTTTGATTCTGCAGTCACAGATGGACAGTCACCACCCACAGTCAGGGAGGAGAAATCAGCCACTGATCTAGCAGCAAAACTCTTTCTTCTTGATGAACTGGTGTCCCTGGAGAATGATGTGATTGAGACAAAGAAGAAAAGGAGTTTCTCTGGTTTTGGGTCTCCCCTAGACAGACTCTCAGCTGGATCTGTAGATCATAAAGGTAAACAGAGGTAAGTGAACTCTTGGAGAAGGAAAGATTTTAGTTTCTTTCTTTCTTTTTTTTTGTTCTTTTTAAGTCTTTCATTCTGGGCTCTGAAACAGAAAATTCTGTTTTAAAAATACAGTGAAAACCTTGTAAATAAACAGATGATAGGGTGTCAGCTAACTTACTAGTTTAACAGTGTGATCTTGGAAATAAGTGTTTAGAGTTGGAAAATGAGTGCTATAGCCTCCATAGCTGACCACCTCCCTGCAGTAGTCCAGACACGTACCCCATGTACATATCAGTACAGTCGGCCAACTTCCTTATGTTGACCACCTCTGTAAGTGATTAATACATCACTACTGTATTTTTGTCATAATATTTCCTAAAAGTCTGCTGAATGCAGATAAAAAATAATGAGGTGAGGAGACACGTGTGTGCATTGAGGTAAATACTTTGGTCAACTGAGCTTTTTATTGAATAGAGGTCACCAGAACAGCACTTAGTTTTGACGCTTGCTATAAAGTTTTCCAAAATATGTGAATGAATCCTGAGAGGAGAACTCTCAGGACTTGGTATCAGTGCAAAAGTGTTTAAGTCCAGTTTCTGCTCTTGTCCAGCCATGTGAATCGTACATGTACCTTTATCCTTTATCTCAAGCTTATTTATCTGTAAAATGGGGGAATTTCATTCCTTCCATAATATGAACTTAGATAATCAAATGTAAAAGCTTTGTAAAATATTGGTTATCATAAGAGAATTAGAGTAGTGAATCTGCCTTTACTCATTGAGAAATGGTCAATATTTTAAAGCAACCATTTCAAACTCAGTTCATTTCCTACTCCCTCAGTATCTGTTCATCATGCTATAAATTTCATAGTGGTAATGGCACAAAAGTCCACCTAATTACTTAGACAGGGATCTGGGCGATTTACTAGGAATCTTTATGCTCACCTTGAACATTTTGTATCTCAATCAATTCTCTAAATCTGATTTGTTTTATGTTAAGTATCTCTAGAATATCTCCCCTTAAGAGTTTTCTAATTCTAGCCTAAATTATTATTTTTTAGATTATTTCCTTCTCCAGTCTTTCCTCATCTCCATCTGCACCATCATCACCACCCATTATCACCAATGTGACCTCTAGTCTGCTACCAGGATGATCATCTAAGAGTCTTGTGTGAAATGTTCCCCACTGCTTTCAATGTAAAAGTCAAATTCCTTAGCAAAACCTACAAAGAATTCTATGATCTAGCACCTTATTTCTTCTTGTTCTTATCTTTACTTCCTTTGGTTCAGTCATATTTGTTTCCTGGAGCTCCAGGTCTTGTCATCTTGTTCGTGGTTCCATGATTTGTCTATGGTCAGTAATTATTAGTATACAGAATACCATTTGCTAGTCCCCTGTTCTACAAAGTTACATTAGAAAATAAAATCATTACTTGGAGACTGCAATTTATCCTACTTGTACTTCAGAAATAATCTCATACCTGCATTTTGTAAAGCAGACTTTACTTTAACCAGAGAAATACAAATTAGTTCACTTCTGGTCTAGGTACTATATTGGAGTCTGGTGAGAAAGAGGAGAAAAATGTAGTCTTTATCCCTCAAAGAACCCACATACAAAAAGAACATGTATGGGTTGTGGAAGCCTATGGTATTCTTGGCTATTGCAGTTGTGGCTCTGTATGTGTTACCCAGCATGCCACAGCAGGAGTCAGAATTCTGCCTCATGGACTGATTGCAGACCTGGGCCAGCCAAGACAGTAGATCCCCCATGGCTACTACCCTCAGCTGTGGGCAGGACACACCATGCCAGAACCCCCACCCTACCCAATCTTCTATGTATCCCAACCTCCTTAGCCTCAGTAGAGTGTATGACATCACAGCTCACAGCAACCTCAAACTCTCAGGCTTAAGCAATTCTCTTGCCTCAGCCTCCCCGGTAGCTGGGACTACAGGTGCCCACCACAACACCCACCTATTTTTTGTTGTTGTTGTTATTGTGGTGATTGTTGTTTGGCAGGCCCAGGCCAGTTCAAACCAGCCAGCCCTGTTGTATGTGGCCAGTGCCTTAGCCGCTGAACTACAGGGGCTGAGCCATATAAATAAGTTCTTGACTCAACCACTCAAGAGCACAAATATGTCTCCTCTCTTTAAGCTAAATTATCAATAAGTTGATTATAAAGTTCATTCTTTGAAATAAAAGCCAGAAGAGCCAGAAAAAGTCTGAAAATAGTAGAAAGAAGAGCCCTACCAGATCTTTTTCTCTTTACATATAGACCAAGATGGTATTTTTTTTTTAATTTCCAAACAAGTGGTTTTGTCACATGGATATCTTGAATAATGTTTAAGTCAGGGCTTTTGGTATGCCCATCCCCGGAATAGTGTTCATTGTACACCATAGGTAAGCTTTCATCAGACATCCCTGCCACCTTTCTCCTTTCTTGGTTTCTCATGTCCTTTATATTGTATTATGCCCAATGTGGACTTACTGGTCAGTTCTGGTAATTAGTGAGAACATGGGGTGTTCTTCACTTAGATCTCCAGTTCTATCCAAGCTGCTACAAATACCATTATTTTATTCCTTTTTATGGCTGAGTAGTATTCCATAAATACCCCCACCATTTTTAAATCCACCCAGCAATTGACAGGCATATAGATTGCTTCCACATCTTTACAATTGTAAATTGCAGTGCTATAAATATTAGAGTGCTGGTGTCTTTTTAATAAAGTGAATTGGGTAGATACCTAGCAGTGGGGTTGTGGGATTGAATGGTAGGTCTACATTTATTTCTTTAAGGAATCTCCATAGTATTTTCCACATAGTTTGTACTAATTTGTTGTCCCACCAACAATGTATAAGCATTTCTTTCTCTATGTATGCACACCAGCATTTTTGACTTTTTACTAATGTCCATTCTGATGGGAATAAGGTGGAATCTCATCATAGTTTTAAGTTGCATTTCCCCCTGATTAGTGGTGTTGAGCATTTTTCTCATATGCTTGTTAGCCATTTGTCTATTTTCTTTTGAAAAACTTCTTTCTGTTCATGGCTTTTGCTCACTTTTTGATGGGGCATTTAATTTTTTTCTTGGTGGTTTGTTTGAGTTCTTTGTAGATTTTGAAGATTTTAGACCTATTGCAGAAGAATGAACGAGGACCTCAAACTCTTACCATACACAAAAATTAGTTCAAGAGGTATATAAAAGACTTAAATGTAAAGCACAAACCATAAAAATTCTAGAAGAAAATGTAGAAAAATCAGTCTAGGCATTGGTCTAGGCAAAGAATTTATGACAGAGACCCAAAGATCCCGAAAGCAACAACAAAAATATATAAACGGCACTTGATTGAATTAAAAAGCTTCTGCATAGCAAAGGAAACAATCAACAAAGCAAACAGACAATCTACAGAATGAGAGAAAATATTTGCAAACTATACATCTGACAGAGGTGTAATACCCAGATCTTTCTACAGTTTTGTTTTTTCACTAGAACATAGGTTATCAATAGATAGATGGATAGGCTGATAGATAGATCAGAACAGAAACTCAAGAAATGGACTCAATTATATTTGCAACTTTAATATGTATAAAAGCAGCATCTCATGTTAGTGAGTAAAACAGGACACTTCAAATAAATGATGCTGAGAACTGGAAAAATTGATAAATTCTCAAGCTATATGTCATGAAAAAGTCTAAATGGATTAGAGATTTAAGTGAAAAAATAAAAGTAGATGAGCCCATATGGGAATAGAAGAAAACATTGCTGAAGTTCTATGGAGAGTGAACTCTTCTAAATTCTTTTTTTTTTTTTTTTTTTTGAGATAGAATCTCACTTTGTCGCCCTCAGTAGAGTGCCATAGTGTCACAGGTCACAGAAACCCCAAACTCTTGGGCTCAAGTGATTCTTTTAAAAGTTTGCAACTTATATCAAAGATGAACAGTTAATGTCTCTAAATATAAAGAACTTTGAAAAATAGAGAAGAAAAAACTATAGAGAATGGAATAAAAACAACAGACAATTCATGGGAAAAATGTAAATAACTCTTAACCATGGAAAAAGATGCCAACCGTTCTCATTACAAGAAAAAATATATTAAAAATTTCATTGATAGACTATTCATTTCTCATGTATGAGATTGGCCAAAAAAGCATCTTTTAAACAGTGAAATAATTATGGACAAAGCTGTAAAGACAAGGCATGCCATGTGTTGCTGATAGAAATACAAAATGAAGGCTCAGCGCCTATGGCTCAAGTGGCTAAGGCGCCAGCCACATACACCTAAGGTGGCGGGTTCGAATCTAGCCCAGGCCTGCCAAACAACAATGATGGCTGCAACCAAAAAATGGCCAAGAGTTGTGGCGGGCACCTGTGGTCCCAGCTACTTGGGAGGCAGAGACAGAAGACTCACTTAAGCCCAGGAGTTGGAGGTTGCTGTGAGCTGTGATGCCACAGCACTCTACCCAGGGGGACAGCTTGAGGCTCTGTCCCAAAAAAAAAGAAATACAAAATGAATCACTTCTTGGCCCTTTGACTAAGATCAAGCATGGAATACAGAATGCAATCCCTATAGAGTCTAATTTGATATGATAATATCCAGTACACAGTAATCTCTTGGTCTAACAGTCTTCCTGCTCCTAGAAAGCTCTTATTTTTATGCTAGCAAAAATGTTTTTAAAAAAAGAAAGGGCAAAACTACTCATTTTACAACTCTTTATAACAAGAAAATATACAGATGTCAAAAAAGGAATGGATAAACTGTGACATCCTCACAATGGAGAACTGTGCAAATCCACAGCCATAAAAAGGAATGAGAAATATCCCTACAATCTGCATAAATCGTAGTCTATGATTTATTCTATGATTTATGGCATCGTTAATTAGCAATAGCAAAACAGATCAACATGAGTATAGTACAGGACTATTTTAAAATGGCAATAAAAATTTATAAATGTTTATATTAAAAAGCAAGGGGGTAAAAATGCAAACTAATGTTAATTGCCTTTATATAGGGAAAGTTAGA